CCTGTGGTGCTGGACCTTGGTCAATAGCGCTACCTTTGGGCAACCCATGTATCCCCAAACATATCCCATGTAGAAGCTTCAGTTCCAGTGATAGCAAGGGCGGGTGTGATTTTACATGTGTATTAAACGTGTCGCCGATGAGACAAGATATGCTCACCTTTTCGAGAAGACCTAATATCATAGCTTGTTGATAGTTATTCATAAGTACATGCAAATCGTAAACAGGATCTGCTTTTAAAACGATTTTGTTTGCAAACACCTGGTGTTAATATTGAATGTCTGTCATCCATTCCTCTAAGTTTCACCTCAATTTTACCTTTCATGCCCAATGAAATCTGTTTCGGTGGAATATCGAGTCATTGTATGGCATTGATGTTTTATATTTTGCCATTATGGAAATGCTTTGCGCCCTTGGATGTCCTGCCCCACAACGAAGCACATGTGATACATGTGGTCTCACCTTAGGCAAGTGAGTTTGTTCAAAACTGCCTCTGTTCATCCAACAGACAATGGGTACCCGGTAGGATAAGTCTTGTGACTATTAACCTTCTAGAGGTTCACAGGCAGCTTGGGTTATCCGGGGTAATAATATCAATTATGTTGCACGCGCTTATAGTCTATTAGAGAGACGCGGAGTTCAGCTCTGTATAAGTGGCCTTATTATTCATCAACTCTACTTTAAAACTTTTTTCAAATTATTTCAAGAAAAACAAACATGAAATGTACAAGATGGTTATGTGTGTACGTCCATGCGATGTACTCTTTAGGGCATCCACAGAAATTCTGCCAAATGCTCGAGTCTCTCCTGTTAGTTTTGATCAAGGAAATTTGACAATGCCACTTAAGATCGACATTGCTGATCATACAGACGTATTATCGATCATATCTATGCCTGCCTGTTTGTTTCCACAAGCCGTTTGAATATTTAATGGCTACAGTGGGTGTTTCACATGAACCGAACTGACTTCGAAAAAGGTGTCAGAAATCTGATGATCCTACGGATTGTACACCACTATTCACATTAAATAAACTCAATTTATAAATACAGACTGTCACGATGTGTTTCAATTGGAGACTGAAAAATATCAGACTAGGTAAAAAGCGGATACACATATTTTACTCCACTTTTAGTACAAATAAATCAATATTCAGAAAACCGAGATTCTTATAAATGTTATGTGTTGACAGTACGACGAAAAGTGTTTCAAACAAGAAGCTGGCATTACCATAGGCACCAACGGTTCTCCTTTCCCTTGGGTTCGTTTCTTGATACATATGAATATGTATATGTGGGTAAAATCAAAACAAGGTAATTTGGAAAAAGGCGTTTAACTTAGTTTCGGATATATTGACGAACTTCCCTTCTACTCATGTATCAAACTGAACGAATAACAGTGAAACCGTCTCACCTGCTTCATATAGGTATATATTTACATAAAGCTTGAGAGTGAGAACTAAATATTACAATATAGTGTGACAACAGCGTCACACGGCCCATGTACAAACGTTGTTTGATTAGGGTCACATTCAAAGCCCCAGAAAGATTTTCTTGAAGGTTTCAGGTAAACAATTCCATCTGAACAATGTGAACAATATTTCCTTGTTATAAGATTAAATGTGTTCAAAGATGTTGTTGTGCGATGGTGTTGGTGTTATTGTTGTTGTTGATGGTGGTCATGGTGTGGTAGATGGAACATGTGTAGGATGATTTGATTGCATTTTCGTAGCATAGTGTCTGTTGCAGGATATTCGTTTAAAGATGGCATTGATTGCAAGATTGTTGAAAGTTCTTTTGATTTTAACAATGGTTTTGTTGCTCTTATTTAAACAGTTCGTCATGTTGTGTGGGTTGCCTGCTTGATTGCTGTAAATGTGGAGTTTATTAAGCCGTATGTCGTTGCCCCGCCTTGACATTGGTGGACGAATTCTAAAGTGCTGGCCATGTTTACACCTGATCTCGGTGTCTCCAAGTTAAAGTAGTCACCAGCAGACATCTTCCAGACATGGGGCACATGATTGATCTCTCTGTGGTTTCTGGACGTCGTAACTAGCACGGACACTTTCATGAAACCTATCTATAGTTGCTGCAGAGGATGGTCAACCACAATATCGATTACCTTAAAGGTGTCCAGTTGTCCAGAAACCACCTTGCGGTTGTTGTTATTTTGGATAACATTAATATTTACCCTTTTCGTTAATCCCCAAATGTGAATAAATTACGGTTTCCTTGGAAATAGAATATATACTAGAATCGTCTAGTATCTTTACAACAGGAAATTTGGGCACATCCAACAGACAAGATGTTATATTCATTTGAAATACTTAATCTGATTGACCTTTCACTTCCAGCATTTTATTTACAAAAATGTTTTGGTGTTTCTCATCTACAACTTCTTAAATCAACCTCTGCCAACTGAAAAATAAGTTATCGAAAATATCTTGCACCATCTAACAGAACTGTATCACAGTACGTAACTGTCTGTATCAGACTGACTGACTGAGTTTAGTTTTACGCCGCTTTTAGCAATATTCCAGCAATATCACGGTGGGGGACACCAGAAATGGGCTTAACACATTGTGCCCATGTGGGGAATCGAACCCGGGTCTTCGGCGTGACGAGCCAACGCTTTAACCACTAGGCTACCCTACCGCCCCGTCTGTATCAGAACACTAATGTTAAGATACCAAATGCCATGAATGGGTGTAGTCGGGTCATATGTTTCCGACATCACATGTTTTCGGACTACAATGTTAACGAGGGGCGTTTATACAATATCTTGGTTTTCTTAAAGATACATTGGTCTTTTATAACTGAATGAGTTTATCAGCTGTCCATGTGACAGGCGAGAAAACTACGAATGTTTCTTAAACGTTCGAACACACGAGGATACATGGTGCACGTGTAAATAAATACATGTTTTATGCAAATGTTGACAAAAGTTGGTTGATAACAAGGAATTAGCAGCCTGGTACCAAGCTTAACGTGATGCCAATCAACAAGCAGTTTACACTTTAACTAGTGAGGGGCAGCACCGGAGTACGTGATAACAAACATCCGTGTGAGTCACTTTCCTAAACACTGGTGATTTAAAAAGAAGCATATGACAAGTGGAGAAGGGGTATTCCTTCACAGAATCCCTAGTGGATTGTCAACTAGGAGAATATGTCCCCGCCGTGGTGACATACGACTAGGCGGCTGACAACGACTGTATCAGCGCGGCACGTTGTTGTCAGCACATGTGAGGGCGTGTTAACAGGTAATCAATTGATATTTGACAAAGCTACGTGTGGAAAAACAGCCATTCACATAACCACGTTTCGTCATTGGACATATTCCTTTCTCAAACATTCTCCCTTGTGTAACCCTTCTAAAAAATCCATCATCCTTCATCAACTTCCTAGAGCATCTACCTTTCCCAACATTCCTCCCAATATACGTCAAAGATTTGAAAATTCGAGCATACAACTTTATGGATGACATTTTGTTGTTTATTGAATAGAGAGACGTTTTAAAGTAGATTCTTACACCGTTATCAAGCATAAGGTTGTATGCTTCACTTTTTACCCACTAACTTCTAGAATGCCAATCAAACACTTAGTCGATGATTTGTATTACTCTGACTGACATGTTCATCTCACCACACCTCAGACGTCTCTCATTTGTTCCAGTGTCCGTCTCTGCCATAATTTATATTATCTGTATCATATCTTTATGCTCTGTTATAGTTCCTTATAATTATCTATCCTTAAATATCACTTTCCTCATATTCTCTCTCTCTCTCTCTCTCTCTCTCTCTCTCTCTCTCTCTCTCTCTCTCTCTCTCTCTCTCTCTCTCTCTCTCTCTCTCTCTCTCTCTCTCTCTCTCTCTCTCTCTCTCTCTCTCTCTCTCTCTCTCTCTCTCTCTCTCTCTCTCTCTCTCTCTCTCTCTCTCTCTCTCTCTCTCTCTCTCTCTCTCTCTCTCTCTCTCTCTCTCTCTCTCTCCAGCTCAGAGTAAACAAGATTATATAAGAGTACTAGAAACACCCTCATTGTGATGCTGAAAGAGAATCACAATAAGAATAACGTATATTACATAACATCAGATCATTGTATCAACCAAACACCATCGTCGTGGTCGTCATGGGGTAGCTTATGCCTACGTCATGGTTACGGCATTACGTCATTACTTGCCTCCATCTGCGGTTATGATTGGCTGTCACGGGAAAAGTTCCAATGTTTTGTTCTCAATAATGCACCCCTGTGGCGTCATTGTCACAAGCCATTGTCAACGCACATTGAACGCTGCGCTATGTAATGCAAATTCTATAAATCACACTTAATTGTGTCAATATTTGTATGTTAATTTCCTCCTATATGCGTTAAAGAAATATCTTTGTATCAACAAATCGGAGAGTGTTTTGAAATAATGGTGTATTTGTGCGTACGCTAATCATGTTGACAGTATTTGAACGTCACCGGGGCTTCGTCACAAGCGTTATATCCCCCCTAGGTCACGTCACATCACCTGTACACTAGATTGACGTCCAATTTGGGACCATCCCACGTAACCCTGAATATCAACCACCCATTTGATGAGGCGAAGCTCCAGCCAAATAAGCAGCGATACCAGCCAATCATGTTCCGTCGCCGCAAATCTCATCGAACATTCCCGCTTTCAGCATACGTCATTTGCATACGAATGCCCTGTAGCACGGATATTTCTCACCATTCCGTGAATATGTGCTCCCTGGGGCTTTCAGGATCAGAGAAATAAACGGTTTCCATGGTGCTGTGTATGTCTAAATACGCTGTCATCTTTTCATTTGGGAAACTGCCACACATTTGCATGAATAAACTCATTACTGATGCATTAACTGTCTTGAAAGGACTCTTAAAGAACCTTTCGTCTCCGCACAAGAATTAACCCTGCGTTGAAGGCTCTGATTCGCCAATACTCGCTACAGCTGTCAGTGTGTGGGATCTAGTCCTCGCCTCTCCTTTCGAGGCCCGTATATAAAGAGCACGCGCTACCAATATTGCATAAGACTGGTGAGAACCGACAGTGCTGCACGAGGAGTAGGGAACCGTACGGGCGAACAAGAACTCAAGTACCCAAGCCCTTCGTATCATCTCTGAAATTTGAGACAGCTCTACTTTTGTTTCGTTTCGTGTATAATATCAACATCTGGTAAGTACGACTTTCATCAATTTTGCAAACTATTTCATGTTCTTTTATTAGAGCCTATACCGTCAGACCTTCAATTATTGCCTTCGGATAGTCTGGATAATGTCCTGTAAGTTAACAAGTATTTTTTTCAAGCCGATTGGAAAAGAATTTGAGTTAAACCGAAAAGATTTTCAAAAGGGTTGTCCTATTTCTTCACGTGAAATATAATTCCATCATAAAGAAAATTATCTTTCCATTATCATCATTGTATTCACGAATAGTTCTACTGACAAACTCTTTCGCTCACTTTTCTTTCACTGAAACCACATATAAACGGGTTAGTGTATATCGCTTGCATATATGACATAGTAGAGATATGCTCTATTTTGTACCTATACATTCAAGACATGAAATGGGGCGGTGGGGTAGCCGAAGACACGGGTTCGATTCCCCACATGGCTACAATGTGTGAAGCCCATTTCTGGTGTTCCCCGCCGTGATATTGTTGGTATATTGCTAACCATACTCACTCACTCACTCAAGACATGAAATGTTATGAATACTGGTAAAGCTGTAGAAAGTTTGTTTGTACCCGTCCATGAAAACATATTATAGAAACCCTAACAATTGTCAGGTCATCTGTCAAATCCGTACAAAGTCACACCAAATGTGTGTCTTCAATATTTCCAAAACAGCAGGCTGGTCCGGATTTCACCGTGCGTTCTATCGTCCACAAGTGTCAAAACACCGTCTGACTAGTGAATGTCCACGTTAAGTTTCTCATGGTTAGTATACAACTATTTGTAATTTGTTCAAATTTCCAAAGCCATGTGTTGTACGTTGGCAAAGTTTAATGAACATTTTCGTATGCCTGAGCTCTTGTTATTCTGAAACAAGGAAGAGATGAAATACATTCTCCACTGGCGACACAAAATTGGCTAAAAACGATAATCAATCGATTATATTAAGTTACACTTTAAAGACAAACTTCGAAAGTTTCTCCTCGTTCTGAAAGCGTTTATCGTCGTATATGACGGGGGTGAGTGGAAGTTAACGTTCTGCCAGTAGTATTTTACGCAAGGTGTTTCTTCTTTCGTTTGCAAGACATCACAGATTACACATCAAAACTGCATCAATGTCTAACGAAAGAGAATCAACTTAAAAAACGGACCTGAACAAATCGCGAAATACAAAACGACAAAAGTCTACTTTTAGTTTTGCATCAGGAAAACTGGTTCACTTTCTCGATTTTGCTACATGTATTTGTATAACTTAGTTAAAGGAATTCTACACAGTAGAGATGAGAGAGAAAATAGATAGTAAACACTCGTTCTAATGTCTTCGGTGTATATTAATGGCTCTTATCTAACGTTCAAGATTATTGTAACGATTGATGCATTAATACGAAACAGTAATAATTCCAATTTAAGAATCGTTAAATGTCTTTATCTGTTTTATTTGATCATTTATTTGTAAGAACACAGTCAAATGATCATGTTCTAACATTCACAACCTTTCTGTTTCTGATCAGCGAGTAAAGAGCGAGCCTAAAAATATATTATTAAACAAAATATATAGGTTTCCCATTATTTCTAATGTCATGGACAAAGCGGCTGGAGTGATTTCTTTAAACGATGGTTTAGCGTAACATAGCAGTGTTGACAATAAAAGTTAAATACACTACGACTTGCGACGATTCAGTCTCTTTGAACTCCCTACCTGGGTAGTGTACTATAAAAGAGAAGGACCCGTGAAGATCCGGGTTAGAATTGGTCTTCAGCAACCCATCCTTTTCGTTACAGGCAACTAACGGGATCGGGTGGTCAGACTCGCTGACTTGGTTGACACATGCCATCGGATCCCACTGACGTAGATCGATGCTCATGGCGTTGATCACTTGATTATCTGGTAGAGGGACCGTCGTGCGGGACGGAGGGGCGCCTAGTTGTTAAAGCGTTAGCTCGTCACGCGGAAGACCCGAGTTCGACTCCCCACTTTCAAGAGTACAATGTGTTAAGCCCATTTCTGGTGTCCCCCGCCGTGATATTGCTGCAAAGTTGCTAAAAACGGCGTAAACCTATACTAACTCACTCACGCAATTGTTTAGATCGATGCTGATGGTGGTGATTACTGGATTGTCTGGTCCAGACTCGACTATTTACATGTAGCTGGAATACTGCTGAGTGCGGCGATGCCCAGCAAACAAACAAAACCCATGACAATTGTATCATGTACCCAGATCTATTAAATTCTTACGTTTCCTTAAGAAACAACTGCGTTCCATCACCAACAACACCACACTCGCAGATATTCACTTTTTTAAAGAAAATTCTGCTCGTGGCGCGTTCTACCAGTAGATCAGCATCTGCTTGCACCTCGGGCGAAAAACCGGTGTCATCACCAATTTTCAGTGATCCATTCGTGTAATTTCCATAACCGTTTTTGCCATTTACGCCTTATAGAATCTGTTTCGGCAGCCTGGTTACTGGGGTCTGCTGCGCTAACGCTTCGACACTGAAGCGTCAGCGCAGCAGACCCCGGGAACCAGGCTGCTGTTTCTGCAGACGTTGGATATTGGTTATAGTGTGGCGCTGACTTTTTGAATTCATATCGGCATCGACATCTGCACCATCTTCCGCGCCGACATCAACACATCAGCCGCGCCGTCTTGACACTGACCATACAGGTTTTCGTCAGACATGCTCGTAATGTAACGATACGCAAACACGAATGGACATATTCAAACTCGCCAAACAGCTGAGATTTTCGTATAGGCATTAAGTGTGAAGATACGAGCGTAAGACAGACACACAGGCAGCTCTTCATTATGACAGAGTGGCACATTGTTGGCACATCGTCAATACGGCATCAGTGGGGCAGCGACATCGTATACAACGATTCGCCATGGGGCTCTAATCTGCACATAACGTGTATTGCTACCGTATAATAGATGTATCTGCATTTGCGGATAGGCATTGACTAAAGAAATAGGTACTTGCTAGAAGTGAAATATGTCATTTCTTCTGTTTCATTTATGGAAGTTTTTTCAGTTTTGCCTTGGCATCTTGACAACTGCAAAAGAAATATGTCCTCTAAACTGTTCCCATGATTTGTTAAAACTGCACACGTTTTTAATTGAACTCGCTTTGTCTCCGTTCCGATGTGTCAGCAGAAGAGCGCTGCGGGCTTGAGGCCTTGGGTGAGTGGAGGTATTGTCATGCTAGCGGGTGTATGTATGTACGTCGTACAGGAGAGAAGGTGGGGGTGATGCGCACACTCTGTTTAGGGTTACGTGTCAATATCATGTAAGGTTTTGCGCTCATTCAAGCGGATATATCTCTATGAAAACTGTTGGCGGGGGATGTGAAGTCAGTCCAGGGCACGTTAGGCCCCATAAAAAAATATTCTTGTTTCTCATCACTTTTTAAATATGGGTCGGGCGGACGGATTTCATTTTTACATTTTATTTTATTTTATGTCCCCCACCCCTTGATTTCTGTGATAATTTACACCTTTTCTCCGATAGAAAATCAAAACTTAGAAGTGTGAAAACTTCATGCACATTTTGAGAGTCAAAGTTGCAATTTCTCAAGTGTAAAAACCAAAAACATCTTAGGGTCAGGTCGAATTTTTTCGTCGGACGGTAATTAGAAACAAGAATATGTTTGTTCATGGCCTTATGTGTAATTAATATTTTGAGTTTTAAACTGGCATTATACAGCCACTGTCGTCAAGTATCACTTGTCATGATGAACCTTGAAACTTAAAACTTACATGTATTGTGTCGCTGGTCTCTGGTCTGAGATCTACTTATACATGAATATACCTATACAGTATATGATGTTTTAAGTTGATTTGTTGTACAGGTTGAAATATTACATCATGTGTGGGGAAGATGGGAGGAGAAGCTAGATAAGATAGATGGTCAGCAAAATACCATACGGTCCTAAAATCAGTCTTAGACCTGCCCATTCCCAACACCCCCACGTCCAGTCCAAGTGACCAGTCCCTCAATAAGAAACCATGGGGATTTCGGGTTGACGTGGGGCCCAGCAACCCATCTGTGCATGTCTTTAACAGCATTTTGATTGATCGGGTGGTCATGCAAGGTGACTTGCTTGATCTCATGTCATTGTACCCAGACGGAGTGTGATGCGATTATTGCTGAGTTCTACACGACAATGTGGCAATGTGTCACTTACTGTACCATGGTAAAATTGAAACACTTCGACTTTTGTGAGTGAGTGAGTTTACTTTTACGCCGCACTCAGCAATATTCCAGCCATATGGCGGCGGTCTGTAAATAATTGAGTGTAGACCAGACAATCCAGTGATCAACAGCATGAGCATCGATCTGCGCAATTGGGAACCGATGACATGTGGCAACCAAGTCAGCGAGCCTGACCACCCGATCCCGTTAGTCGGTTCTTACGACAAGCATGGGTTACTGAAGATTCATTCTAGCCCGAACCTTCACGGGTCTCGACTTTTGTAATTGGTATAATTTCGGTAAACAGTCAAATCAGTATTATACGCCATTGCGAATAAATTATAAGCATTGTTACAAAACAAATGTCCATCGTCTTATTTTCATGTGACCCATTAAACCCACGGGTCATAGTTACCTTTTTCTGAAGAACTTAATTAGTGTTCGTGGCATTTGACGTCCGAAACTAATCAATTTAGTTTCTATAAGTAGTATTTGTAACTGAAGAAGTACAGTCCAATGTAATCGTTTCGTCTTGCTGTTTGTGGCTATCACATGGGATTGAATATATCGTTCTACGACTGTGCACACCGACAGACCAAATCCGTCAAAACTTGCTTGCAAGTTTCCCCAACTATCCATCAAACCTGTTTCTGGCCCGGGATAAGACCTGTAGATGAATTGTTCAGCAGCAAATAGACGGCTCATGTCGGTACATGATGGAAATATATATTTACTGCATCTGAACACAATGCAAGCCAAGCAGTTCCGTCACATACCGATGAGTTATTTTGTACGTAGCAAAATTTGATAT